CCCCTGGCCGGGCTCGGGCTTCAGAAAGAAAGAGGCAGGGTAGGAGGCCAGGCCGTGGGAGCGAAGGCAGCCAGGAGGCGGCGGCGCCATCTTAGTGGCCGCGCCTGCGAAATGGCTGCCCAACAGGTGCGGCCCATCCGGCCCCATCGGTGGGCACGGAGGCGCGTGGGCCGTCAGAGGCCTTTCTGCCTCGCGGGGATATGGCCCAGCCTTCGTCCTGGTGGGGTCGGGACGAGGGCTGGGAAAGGAGGCAGGGATGGCGGCCCCCTGTTCCTCCCGGGCCTGTGACTGGCCACGGCCCTGGGTGCGCTTCCTCTCCGCCCTCGGCCAGGCCTGGCTTCCATCTCCCCACCCCCAGGGCCACCGCCCGGGCTGCGGGGCTGCCCTACTGACCTTCTGGAAGATTCCACACAGGCGCGCCGCGTCCTCCCCATTGGGCTGCTTTTTTTGGTACATCCATGAGTTTCTGGGCCCCGTTGTTCGGCCCTCTGGATCCGCCCAGTTCCCAGCCCCGAAGCCTTTGCCGTGGTTCTGCCCTCAGCCCTCCATGGAGTCCCTCGCTCTTGTCCACGTTCTCAGGACTCCCCTCATCTCAAGGGACGATCCCTCTCATTCCTTCAGTCTTGACGCCCCCTCAAAGAGATTTTCGCTATAGGGCATGTGCCCTTGTGGGAGAGACAGACAGCGAGAAATCACACTGCGGGGGCCAGAGCCACCCACAGTCCCTTCTCTGTCCCTCTGGAGGTCTTGGGCATGCTCGCACACCGCCCTGCCTGAGTTTCAAGCCGCTGGGCCTGGGACTCCCAGCCGTGGGCAGCCATGGGGGAGTCCAGCACCTAACCGCGGTGCCATCTGCTGGTCCCAGTCCCTTGGAAACTCCAGATTCCACCCTCACCACTTCCTGAGGTCCTGCCTCAGCTCCGGGCCAGAGGCAGAAGGGAGCACCTGCCATGCAGGCGGGACCTCACTGCAGGGAGAGCTGGAAACGGTGGCCCGTGTCTGCAGGGGTCCCTAGGTAAAAGTTCCAGTTCGGCCCCGGGTGAGCCGGTCCCCCGAGGTTCGGTTACCCAGCACCAGGTTACTCCAGCACGGCTGGAGAAGGGAGCCGTGCACCACCTCAGGAGCTGAGGGCTTCCTGGAGGGCGCCCAAAGATGACAAGCTGAGCAGGAGTTTGAGGAGGTTTGTGACCCTGACAGCATGTGTGAAGGCCAGGAGGTGGTCTGGGGACCCCTGTCCAACTGTGCTGGGAGGAGAGGGGAAATGGAGGCAGAAGTCCCTGCAGAGGGCCTCACTCTGCACCAGGGATTTAAGGACGGGGTGCCAGGGGAGCTAGCCCACGGCCTCTGAGACCTGGGCATAGGGCGTGGCTGGGAGTAATGCCACCACTCCCAGAGGCCCAGGGCTGACCCCTGCTGCCCACTGCGCCCAGCACCCACCCAGACTTTGAATACTCTCAGCTGGTCCTGAACAAGTGCAGGGACAAGAAAGGTCTGGGAGCTGCCGAGGAAGGGTGTGTCTCTGCTCCCCTGCTCTGCATCCAGGGCTATCCCCAGCCCCACACACGAGGGCAGGCTCCTGGGTGCTGTCCGGAGAGAGGTAGAGGCGAGGATGCAATGAGCAATTCCAGGGCAGGGCAGGGCAGGGCAGGGCAGGGGGTGGGCCATGGGGTAGGGGGACGGAGGGCAGGCCCTGACTTGGTGGGGCAACCAGCTAGTGTCTGAGCCCTTTCAAAGAAAAAGTTTCAATAGGTTAGGGCTGCAAGGCCGAGGGGGCTGGAGTGAAGCAGAGAGACTTCCTGGAGGAGGGGGGTGTGAGGGAATATCCAGGGCCAAGGCTCCTAGGGGATTCTTCACAGAGAAAGGGGCTGAGCGGCTGGAGGGGCAGCTGAGAAGAGGATGAGGCTGCTGCCCCAGGTCCTGGGGTGGAATGTAAGTGGGGAGCCGAGTGCTGCCCTTCCCCCAGCTTGGCCTCTGCACAAAGACCTCTCTGTGAGTGGCCGCAGCAATGGCTCTGTCAGGTGAGGGGGCTTAACTCTCAGGGGCCCCTCAAGGGGTTGGGTGGAATGGGGAGATGGAGAAAGTTGTGGGGTGGCTTCAGGGTTTAACCAGGCCTGACAATAGAAGCTTTTACCAAGCCAGGGTCTCCCCATGAAGCCAGTGAGACAAAGCAGTGGCAGGCTGCCCTCAGGTCCCCCTAGGCCCTGCCTGACTGACCCAGACTTTCCTGGCCCCAGCTCCTGGTCTGCCAGGCCCTTCGGCCTTCCTGCCCAGCTCACTGTCCTCCCCTGTGCTGCTTTTGGGAACTACCACTCTGGAACCTCCCGGGCCCACTTTTTCTTTTCTTTTCTTTTTAAAAGAATTATTTATTTAATTCCATTTGTCATTATTATTATTTTTCACTTTGACCAGAGAGCGAGACACACACACATAGAGAAAAGGAAAGCAAGAAAGCAAGCCATCAGGTCCAGGACTCGAACCATGATCAGTCACGTGGGAGTCAAGCACCTCAACTATCACGGTACCAGCTGCACCCCACACCCACTCTTCCCAGGGAGATTTCTCTCCTGGCCCAGTTTCCAGTGTCCCTTACTGCCAGCAAAGGCGTGAGAGCCCCCCCACACACACACAGACACCTCCGAGCCCGTGGTGCACACTGCCCCCCTAATAAATGGGTTTGGGTGCTGAAAGCAGCAGAATGACAGCGAGCACCCTCAGTGTACAGATTGCCCACCAGTCTGATAGCGAGAGGGGCTCTGTCCACAGGAAGGTTGGGGTTCTGGTCCTGGACTTGGGCAAGCTGCTCAGGATATGCCTTCTGGCTTGCCTCACCTTCTAGCCTGCTGTCCTAGGAAAGTCCCTTAACGTCCTTGGGCCCCAACGTCCTTCCGTGCTTAGCTGGAAGATCCAAGGCAGCCATGTGAGTGAGAGGGTTTTGCAAAGCTGTCCAGCTTTCTTTACTTTTTGGAGAGGTTTTGCTATAGGGCGCATGTGCTCACCAGAAAGACAGAGAGACAGAAAATGAGAAATCACCCCCCCCCAGGGGGATGACCATGCCACAATCCCTTCTCCTCCATTCTCCTCTCGGGATCTTGGGCACGCACGCACATGTGCCCGGTGTGAGTTTAAGCCACTGGGTCCAGGACTCGAACCGCAGATGACTACATGGGAGTCCAGCGACATAGCCATTACGCCAACTGCTGGTCCGAAAAGCACAGTTATGGGGACTGTTGGAGGTGGAGGGGGACAACTGAGAAGGTTCCTGGGTTTGGAAGTGAGGGCCGTAGTTGCCAGGACGGAGAGTGGAGGTGCTGTGGGTGTGAGCCATGATGGAGGCCTGACAGAGAAGCGTGGCTGGGCTCGGCGGCTGGAGCTTCTTCTATCCGTGGTCTTGAGCAGGTGAGTGCCTGGTTGAGACTGGTTGGAGCAGGACCATTTTTATTTGTTTGCTTTTTAAAGATAGCATTTTATTATATTAGTAAAAGGTTTTTGCCTTAGGGTGTATGAGCTTGCCAGAGAGAGACAGAGACAGAGACAGTGAGAAATCACCTCCCAGGGGGTGATCCTTTCTTCATTCTCCTCCTGGGATCTTGGGCACGCACGCACCCACACCTGGTGTGATGTTCAAGCCACGGGGTCTGGGATGTGAACCATGGTCGGCCATGTGGGAGTCCAACGCCGTAACTGCTGTGCCATCTGCTGGCCCCTATTTTATTACTGTTTTAATGTGTCAGCTTAGGTTCATTGACCTTAACGAATGTATCCCTGAGGTACAGAGTCTTATTTTTTTCCCCTTTATCTTTTTAATTCATGAGAGAGCACTGCACGTGAGAGAGAGAGAGGGAGGAGCCCCCTTCTCCTGTTCTCCAGCACAGCAAATCTTGTGCATTTCCGCCGCGTGCCCGGCATGACGGGTCCGGGGTGCGCGTTGGGGAGGCCTGTAGGATCTGGCCTCTGGAGCAGCCCGTCACCACTGCACACAGAGCCGGCCCCATGTACTAACAGCCAAGTGGTGGGCTTCGTTCCTGCAGCTTCCTCCATCCTTCTTCGGAAGGACTTCCGATTGGCCGTGTGCAAGCACCACCTAGCAACATCCGGAGGTGGCGAGGCGGGCAGAGCCCTGCCCCGCTCCTGCTGCCTCGTCTCCATGTTCTCCAGAGGAAGCTCAAGCCACACTGGAATCTCCACAAAATGGGACCTCCACGCCCTCACCCCGGAGCTCCAAGCCCCAGATGTTGCCGCTCCCCATGTTGTTAGGAGTGAGCTGCATTCAGACTTGTTTAGCTGCCTTGGCTGTGGGTCTTTTGTCTCCCCGCAGTCACTCCCTGTTGTACAAGCTCGGTCTGGAAGAGGAGGGTTTGGCATCCTCCCCCACAGAGAGCAATGAGGCCTTCGGGCCTACGGGGAGGACCAGGCGGAGGCTGGCATATGGAGGGAGAGCCCTGGGCACGGGGCATGAGCTTCACCCGGCTGGGGCTGCCTTCTGCTGGGTTTGTCCATCTGGCACCAGCTGGCATCCCAGCACCGCCCCCACAACCAACCAGGCTCCTTCGACTGTTGCCATGACAATTGGCTGCCATCTTGTACTGAGGTCCTGCCTCGTATCTGGGTTTCCCCTTGAGGTTCCTGGAGGATGGGCGATAGGTCTCCAGAGATTTAGCCCTTTCCCTTGATACCCAGCCAATAACAATCCACGCGAATATACACTTTGTTTAAATAACCAAGATGGAGGCTGTGTGTCCAATGGCTAATGCCCACTGTGTGTCAATATGGCCAAGGAAGAATTTGCTAGAACTCAAGAGGTCCCTCCCTGCTGCCTGCTTCTGTGACAGACTTTTCTTCTCTCCAACCAGGGGAAGTCCATGGTCTTGCTCACTCCTGTCTTGGCAAGTACTTCCCAATGTTTAACCCAAGTCATCACTGCCATAGGCCCGGCTCGGTGACCCCGCTTGTCATGGCTGAGTTGAGAGGTAAGGCTGGAACTGCCCCCTCAGTTTACTGACTTCGTGGACATTCCTGCACTCACTGCCAGGACAGGAAAACTGAGATTGGCTAGCTTGGCGAGAGGTCCGAGTGCCCCTTCAAGACTTGGCTAATCCTGCTCAAATCTTTTTTCTGTTTGTTTTAAATTTGCTATAGGGTGTGTGTACCTGCCGCAGAGAGATAGAGAGAGAGAAAGAGGGAGAGAAAGTGAGAAAGCACCCCCGGGTGAGTGACCACACCGTCATTCCTTCTCTTGGGATTTTGGGCATGCACGCACATGCTTCCGGCATGTTTTTCAAGCTACCAGGTCTGGGACTCAAACCGCACAGTCAGCCATGTGGCACCAAGCTGCCTTACCCACCACACCACCTGGCTGGCCCTCAACTCTTTCGTTTAGAGAAGAGTCAATATTACAGGATGCTTGAAATCCCCCCTCCTTGATTCCAACATCACCCCAAAAGAGGCAGGAGGCAGAGACCATTGGAAGGGGATAGTCTTGCAGACTCCCTGGGGACCCGTTAGAAGCCAGGCTCTCCCCTCTCACCATTGACGAGGGTCCAGCAGAGTCCCTGAGAGGCCCCAGGATGGGACTAGTTCCCTCTGGGAGCCCAGCCAGAAAGCAGAGTGGTCACCTTGACCTAGGGGGTCTGAGCAGGGGCCAGCTTTGCTGAGAGAATCCCGAATGAGGAGCAGGTGGAGAGAGAAAGGAGGCCATTCTCAACTGAGGAGGGCTGGGCTGGAGGGGAGGGCCGGGGATAATTTATGATATCATTGTTCCCCCGCCCCACTTTCCCAGCCCCCACCCTCTTCCCAGCCCCCTGCTACTGTACCGTTGCTAGGAGATCCTGGCTCTGCCTGGGGCCGGGAGGGGGAACAGGCAGGAGACTGTTCCATCTGCACTCTCCTCCCACCCAGGGGAGCGCCCTGCACTGGGCTGTGCCCGCCGCCCCTCCCCAGGCCCTGGCAGGCACATCCTCTCCTGATGTTCCCCCAAATCTAGCCAGCATGAGGACAGTCGGGCAGGAGGAGGGTCCGGAGCGAAGATTGGGAATGGGAGTGTGGAGGGTGCTGAGCAGAGCTGGTCCCTCAGGAGCTGGGGCCTGCCTAGGGCCAAAGAGGGCCAGAGGAGTCAGGGACACAGCCTAAGGAGCCCAGGCTTGGGGGAGACTGGTCTTACCTTCGGGGTGCTCTCACAGGATGGCAGTATGGACGGCAGCTCTTTCATCTCCTCCCTCCATCCAGGTCAGGGGTAGGGACCTGGCCAAGGCTGCAAGCAGGAAGAGAGGGGCGGGAGCAAGGAGGGGAGTCTGGACAGGCTGAGAGCTGACAGAAGGGATGGGGTGAGGTCCGTGCAGCCAGGCAGCTTGGGGTTTGGCTGCAGACGCCTTCCTCTTCCTGAAATCCTGAAATTCTCCCATTTTAAGGCTCTTGGAGAAGTTGGGTGAGGAGGACTTTGGGGGCTTCCAAAGCCGCTGCTCCCAACTCTGGGTGCGTGCTGCGCCCACTCCTGTGGAGCCCCCGCCCCGCCCCCAGTTATCGCTTTCTTTTGTTTCTTCTTTTTAGTTTGCTCTATAAGCATATGTACTCGCCAGAGAGAGAGACACAGAGAGAGAGGGAGAGAGAAATCACCGTGGGGGGTGGTGATGGCCATGCCATAATCTCGTCTCCATTTTCCTTTTGGGGTTTTGGGCACGTATGCACACAGATGTGACTGGCATGTTTTGCCATGCCACCGGGTCCAGGACTTGAACTGTGCAGTCAGTCGTGTGGGACCCAGCCACTGCCTGGCCCTATTTGTTTTCCTTAGGCATAGCTTTCACCCGGAAGAGAAGAAGTGGAGCTTGGTTTGGCGACCACCTGGCTGTTCAAGCCCTTTCTTAGCCTTTATCTCAGTCCATCTTCCAGCAGTCCTGGACACGGGAGAGCCTGTCTCCGCCTGGCAAAGGAGGAATTCACGCCTGGGGACGATGCGCCACTCCCAGTCGCCGGACTAGTGAGTTGGGCTGGACTTCCAGGGCGCCTTGGGGGACCCTGGGTGTGGGCTCATGCTTCCCCAGGCTGACTGCCGGTGGGACGCCTTTTTTCCAGACACAACCAGAGGGCCGAGAGAAGGGAGGACCCCACAGGCAGGTGGGCTTCTCGGCGTGTTCTCAGGTGCAGGGGTGAGGTTCGAGGGATTCTAAAACCCACCCTTACAGGTGGAAGCTGGGACTGGGGAAGAGGCCACAGGAGCTATGGGTGACACCCAGATCCTCCCAGGTTGGTCCCTAGCCCAAGGGAAGCACGCTTCCTGCCTTCCTGAGGCAAGTTCCCTGTGCCCCTGGCCTAATCTTGCACTATTCCTGGGATCTGAGTTCCCGCCCCGGGCACTCCCCAGCCCCCACTGCCCTAGGGGCATGCCTAAACTCAAGCCACCATCACTGTGAGTCCCTTTATCATTGGACCCTCCCAGCTTCTCAGCTGTCCTGATGGAGGGGAGGCCCTCCGGGGGCTGCCGGAAGTCTGTCCTCTGCCTCCTCCTACTCATCGTCCAAGAATGCCTTTGCCCATTCCCGACATCTCTTCTTTTCAGGCCAGAAAAGAAGAACCTGCTTCACCTGCTGGCCTGGGTTCCCTCAGGAGCTTTCCTGGATGGACTGAACGATGAGGCTGAGCTGTAGTGAGTGAAAGCTGACCGGCTCCTCCAAGAAGACTCGAGCTGTGTGGAAGTGGGAGGACCCCGCTTCAGCCTGGGCACCCCACTCGGCTCGGAGCTGTCTGGGACAAGACTTGCCTGACCCATTCCTCTGTGGCTGCAGCTGGTCCTTCTGGCCCGGCCCAGTTTATCCTGTGTCCTCTGCGCTGGGACGCCCCTGCCCTCTGAGATAGAAGTCCACATTGTGTCTAATAAAGATTCTATATTTTAAAAGTTTATTTATTTCTTCCATGAGTGAGAGATACAGAGACACAGCACCCCCAGGGGTCTCTACGTCGCAATCTCCCCAGCTTCAGCCACCCCTAGAAGATGAGTACGCGTGTGCCCGGCATACTCAGAGACATCTCTGGTTGCAAACTGGCAGCCTCCCACGTGGGTCTGTGGGTTCAGAGTGTCATGTCTTAGTTCTAAACCACCGTCCAGCCCCAGTAAAGATCCTGAAGAGCTGATGGTGTGGTGGTTAAGTCAGCCAGAATTCACATGACCAACTAGGCGGTTCAAGTCCCACACCTGGCCTAATAAACATACCAACTGTGTGTGTGCATGCCCAAAATCCCAAATGGAGGGAGGAGAAGGGATTTCAGAGTAAACAGCTGGGAGGTGCTTTCTCCCTTCCCTACTCTCTGGAAGTGCATGAGCCCGCTAGCAAATTTCAAAAAGAAAAAAAAAAAGACTTAAGGGGACCAGCAGCTGGCGTAAATGGCTATATCGCTGGACTCCCATGGAGTCGACCGCAGTTCAACTCCTGGACCTGGTGGCTGAAACACGCCATGCACGTGTGCGTGCATGCCCAAGATCCCGAGAGGAGAATGGAAGAGAAGGGATTGTGGTGTGGCCATCCACCCCAGGGGGTGATTTCTCACTTTCTCTCTGTCTTTCTGGCGAGCGCATGTGCCCTATAGCAAAAACCTCTCAAAAAAAAAAAAAAAAAAAAAAAGACTTGACTATTGACTGAAGTAGTGTCTGGGGAGGTTGGAAGGGAGGCAGTGAGGGCAGGGCCAAGACTGGGCTCCTCCCCCCAAAGACAACAGTGCAGCAGCCAACACCCCACAGACCATAGGGCAGGAGAGCCATGAAGCCCGACTCCCACCTGGTGGGGGTGGATGGAGAATAGATGTCACAGCTCCTCCCTTCTTTCCCAGCCACCCCAAGGCTCCTGAGAACTCCATCGTGTTCCCGTCAGTCCCACTCAGAGCAATGAGTGGGCCGATGCTCTCCGCCAAAGAACTAGCATCCCAAGGACCAAGAGATGGGAGAGGGTGGGGCCACTCCTCTACTGTGCCTGTTGGGGAGATCGCCAGGGCCCTGGGTCTCCCACGATAGCCCCTAGCCCTGTCTCAGAACTGTCCTCCTGAGTTGAACAAGTGCAGACAGGCAGAGCCAGCTACTCCTGTTTCCTCTCTGTCCGTCCTCAGTGGAAATAGGAATGAGTAAGACTAGCAAGAAGGAATCACGTTAGACAGAAGGTAGGACTTCCAGGACCAGCAGTTGGCGTAATGGCTATGTTGCTGGACTCCCATGTAGTCGATCAAGGTTCGAGTCCTGGACCCAATGGCTTAAACTCACACTGGGCGCGTGTGTGTGCGTGTCCAAGATCCCGAGAGGAGAATGGAGGAGAAGGGATTGTGGCATGGCCATCCCCCGTGGGGGGTGATTTCTCGCTTTTGGTCTCTGGTAAGCGCACACACCCTATAAACCTCTCAAAACAAACAAACAAACAACAAAAAAAAAAGTAGGACTTCCTGGCAGTGACAAGGCCTGAGAGGAATTCTGAAAGGGCAGGGAGGCTACAGCAAGAAACTAGGTTGTCCTCTTGACCTCATTTCTCCCACAGCTGTATCCAACACAATCCCCCAAAAGGAAGGCCCTCTCTCATTCTCTGGAGAGCCCCTGCTGGGAGGTGTTAGGTCAGCCTAGACTGCCAAGTTTTTTTAGGCAGGTACTTCAAAAGGCTCAATAAAAAATGGAATCAAAACACAAGTTTATTGGACTGGCAGGTGGCATGGTGGTTAAGGGCATTGGACTCCCACGTGGCCAACCGCGGTTCAAGTCTTGAGTCTCGGACCTGGCGGCTTGCTTTCTCACTTTCCCTCTCTCACTCTGTCCTCTCTAGTCAAAATAAATAAGTAAACAAAGTTAAATAAAATGATTATTATTTTTTTAAAAATACAAGTTTATTCTGGAACTGCTGGTGTGGTGGTTAAGGCAACTGGATCCCATGTGAACAACTGTGCCAAAGCCTGAAAAATACGTCAGGCATGTGTGTGTGTGTGCATGCCCAAAGTCCCAAGAGGAAACGAGATCCAAGTATGGTCATCCTTACGGGGTGTGATTTCTCAATTTCTCTCCCTGCCCTTCCTGTCCCCAGCAAGCACACACACCCTATAGCAAATTTATTTATTTTTCTTTTAAAGAATAGGTTTTTTTTTTTTAAGAATTATTTTCTTTATTTTATTTATCATTATTGTTATTTAATTTGACTGGAACAAGACAGAGAGAGAAAGCAAGAAAACAAGCCTCCAGGTCTGGGATTCAAACCATGGTCAGCCATGTGGGAGTCCAAGTCCAGTGCTTTTAACCACCATACCACCTGCCGATCCCCCTATAGTAAATTAAAAAAAAATAATAGTGGAACCAGCAGATGGTGTGGTGGTTAAGGTGCTGGACTCTCACATGGTAGACCACAGTTCAAGCCCCAGACCCAGTAGCTTGAAAAACATGCTGGGCATGTGTGTGTGCATGCACATAATCCTGAGGAGAGTATGTTGAGGAGAGTGCTGTTGGAGAGGCCTGGGCATGTGTGTGGCCATTCCCCCTTGAGGTGAGGGGAGGTAATTTCTCGCTTTTCCTTTCTCTTTCTCTGTCTCTATCCAGTGAGTGCACGCCCCTTCACTTTCCTCTCTCCTTCTCTGTCTCTGTCTCTCTCTGGTGACAGTATGCACCCTATAGCAAAAATAAATAAATAAATAGATCATTTTTTAAAAAGTGCAATGGGGGGGACAGCAGGTGGCATGGTGGTTAAGGGCGCTGAGCTCCTACATGACTGACTGCGGTTCGAGTCCCAGACCTAGAGGCCTGCTTTCTCACTTTCCCTCTCTCTCTCTCTTGCTCTCACTCTGTCCTGATCAAATTTAAATACATAAAGTTAAATAAAATAATAATGTTTCTCAAATTTAAAAATTTATTTTTTAATTTATATTTTGGAGAGGTTTTTCCTATAGGATGCGTGTACTAACCAGAAAGAAAGAGACAGAGAGACAGAAAGTGAGAAATCACCCCCCAGGGGGAATGGCCCCGCCGCAATCCCTTCTCCTCCATTCTCCTCTCAGGATCTTGGGCACGCACTCACACACACCTGGCACGAGTTTAAGCCACTAGGTCTGGGACTCGAACCACGGTCTACTACATGGGAGTCCAGCGACATAGTCATTATGCCAACTGCTGGTCCTGATGAGTAGTTTTTTCATAAAATGCATTTCCCATGAACTTTTGGAAGACTTCTCACAGGCTCTCCATCACCCTCCAGAGAGTCATTGTTCCAACTTAACCACAAGCCCTTCATTAAATTATAGTTTGAATCCTGGAATTTTTCCAAATAAAAAAGCTTAAGATAATATGTGTGAAGGACTGGCAGGTGGCGTGGTGGGTAAGAGTGCTGGACTCCCACATGGCTGAACGTGGTTGAGTCCTGGACCTGGTGGCTTGCTTTCTCACTTTCTCTCTCTCTCACTCTGGTCAAATTAAAAATAAATAAATAGAGACCAGCAGTTAGCGTAATGGCTATGTCGCTGGACTCCCACGTAGTCGACCACGGTTTGAGTCCCGGATCCAGTAGTTTAAACTCACACCAGGCGCATGTGCGTGCGTGCCCAAGATCCCAAGAGAAAAATGGAGGAGAAGGGATTGCGGTGCGGCCATTCCCCCCTGGGGGGTGATTTCTCGCTTTCTGTCTCTCTCTGTCTTTCTGGCGAGTACATGTGCCCTATAGTAAAAACCTCTCCAAAAATAAATAAATAAAGTTAAGTAAAATCATTCTTTAAAAAAAAAATTGGGAAAAAAATAAAAAATGATAGGGACCAGCAGGTGGCATGGTGGTTAAAGCACTGGACACTCCCCCATGGCTGACCACAGTTCAAGTCCTGGACCTGGTGGTTTGCTTTCTCACTTTTCCTCTTTCTCTCTCTCTCTCTGTCTCTCTCTGGTCAAATTAAAATAAAGTGAATGAGTGAATAAAAGTAAATGAATAGTTCTTTTTTTTTTTTTTGGAGATGTTTTTGCTATAGGGCGTGTGTGCTCGCCAGAAAGACAAAGAGAGACAGAGAGACAGAAAGCACTAAACATGGGAACCAGGGGAACCAGCAGTTAGCGTAATGGCTATGTCGCTGGACTCCCACGTAGTCGACCGCGGGTCGTGTCCCGGACCCAGTGGCTTAAAACTCACGCTGGGCGCGTGTGCGTGCGTGCCCAAGATCCCGAGAGGAGAATGGAGGAGAAGGGATTGCGGCGTGACCATCCCCCCTGGGGGGTGATTTCTCGCTTTCTGTCTCTATGTCTCTCTCTGTCTGTCTGGCGAGCGCACGCGCCCTACAGTGAAAATCTCTCCAAAAAAAAAAAAAGTTAGCTATCACACTATGGAATCCAAATCTTGCACTCATGCCTCTTTGCGGCATTCCAGAAATACATAACATTGAACATCCCCAGGCTAACTGTGATATTAGCATCTCAAATTCAAAGTATGTAAAACTAATCTCTTGACAAACTTCCTCCTTATCCTGTATTTTCTGACTAATATCACTAGTTACCTTGTCTTGAAGGCAGACAACTCTTTTTTTTTCTCTTTCTTATAATCAATAACAAGCTCCGAAAGCAAAAACATCACCACACCACCACCTCCCCGGGGGGGATGGCCACACCGCAATCCCTTCTCCTCCATTCTCCTCTCGGGATCTTGGGCATGCACGCACCCGTGCCCAGCATGAGTTTAAGCCACCATGTCCAGGACTCAAACCATGGTTGACTACATGTGAGTCCAATGACATACCCATTATGCCAGCTACTGGTCCAATAAATAATATTTTTTTCTTAAAAAAAAAAAAAAGCTAATACATGTGATAGAATTCTAATAGCACAAAAGGGAAAGTATGTCTGCTTCCTGTTCCTATCCCATCACCCACC